GCAGCAGCTGAATCTGGAGCCAGTTCCGACTTACATACAAATTCAATTTAAGAACAAACCTATCTTGTACGTAACCCGGGGGACTGCCTGTATATATTCCTCACATTATGGCCCAGTTACAAAATTAGGAAAAGCCAAACTTGTGAAGATCACATAGCATATAACAAGTTGAAAATAAAGAACACAAGTCTCCTGATCTGCCCTCCAGTACTGGACCATAATGCCTTCACATATATTTCTACCAGACCGAGTTCAGGGACATTTGCAAGGCAATGTAGAAAGACCTATATTATTCCATCGCACACTGTTTGAATTTTTCACTTAAGTCTTTATGGCAGTCTTTTTATTTTAAAAGGGAAAGGCAATAGGCAATTTCAAAGAAAATGTCCTATCAAGGTAAGTAACAGAGCAGCACTGATACCAAACCTTAAGGATGACAGAAGACCAAGGGTGAGGTGCACTGGAAGAACTGTGCACCAAAGGTTGACATGTATCTGCTCTCACTTACAAAAAACACTACAATTGTCCAATTGAAAAAGCCTTATGAGGTTTCTACAGCTAAACAGTCATTTAATGTTAATATGAGCAGCCATCACTGCAATTGATGGTGAAGTTTGGTCTTATTAATCTAAAGAATTTTTAAGCCACTGCATAATCAAAGCTATAAATGAAAGGTCTGATATAGCAATTTAAGCAAATCACCATATTCACATTTAAATGTAAGCTGAGAGTATAAAAACCCTGTATTTTTCTTAGTCAATTCTAATTGCAATTAACATGCTGACTATAGTGTAAATCAGCTGTCAGGGAAAGCTTTGCTCACTCTGTACATTTAAGAACTCCATTTATCACTGTAACTGTTCTGTTTCCGTGCAGCTCAGTTGATGCTGTTAACATTCTGTTGCATGCTGCAGTATTTTTCCTCTCACTGAAGGAATCGCATTCTACCCTAAGGAACTGCACTCAAACATAAAACAAAACTAAAAATCACACCTAGCAATCAGATGTATTTCTAGACAAACACATTCAAGCACATAGCCAGATCCTGCAATCCAAGTAAAGGCCAATGGAAACCTTTTTTGGCAGAAGACCAAATACTTTAATACTAATTAAGAAAGTGCCATTCTCTTCAAATATCTCCACTGTCCATAAAGGAAATACATGCACCACTGGTACACTTGGCCTGTCAGTAGTTAATCCTAAGGTATTTTCCTTAGGATGCTTTCCAATGTGATTCCCAATCTCCACTTCTTACAGAGGTTTTGGCCTCTGGGCCCAAATCTTCAAGCCAACCTATTCAGACTCATGTCAAATTCAAAGTGATCTCTGCACAATTTATTTTAGCCACAAGCAAACTGTCTTTGTAGAATTCTCCCCCCCCTCTTCCTCCCCCAAAGGCTAGAGGAATCAAGAATGTTATTGGTATGCTTAATGGTGCCCCAGCTGTGGAGGGAAGGCAGGACCAGAAGCAGGTCCAGAAGTCAGACTCCACGGCCATGATAGGGCTGGGTAGCAGGACAGGTGGAGAGCACAGAGTTAAAACAGTTAAACAAATAACCATTTTAACAGCCCTAACAGGAATGTATCCTGGAAATTTCCTACCAGGCTCCCTTTAAGCACATGTTGGGGCTGCAGATCCAGCTATATTATAACAAAACATGAACACTATCAAATAGGTTATAAAAGAATCAAAGCTGCTCACCTGCACTCCAAAAGCAGCTAATGCTGAGGATGAGGGGGAAAAAATCCTCATTTGTGTATCACTTCCTGACCGGCATGGTGGGAATGAGACTCAATCATCTTAGCTTTGAAATTCTCAGTCTGTATTATGCTGCAAGATTTAGACCTCCAAAGCAGGAACCTTTTACATCTTGAAAGTATATGTTATACACTTTCAACTGCAAAAGGACCCCGGAGGAAACGATTTCCTAAATGTATTTTTACCCATGTAGTCTAATGGTAAACTATTTCATCGCTGTAAGTAAGCTTGGAATTGTTGTGTACTAAATGTAGCAATTCAACACAATAGTAAATGTAACAACAAAAGGCAGTAATCTTTATACAACAGATTCAATATGGAAATTTGAAAAATGGTAACTGGCTAGACCAATAAGCTATGCCTCAAGGTAGTTGATGTCTGTGTCAGCCTTTGACAGGTTTCCAATTTGAGATATGGTACAGTAACATACCACTTTATAGTGCTCCCAAATTACGAAGAGAGACAACATGAAACTTGTCAGTGCACATCCTTCAAAGAAACGTCCCTTCACTCATAACAGCTTGATTCTAAGCAGAGATAACTGTGCTTTTTTCAGTATCCAAAGTGTTACAACTGTACTAGAAATAGATTTACATATCCGCTGATGAACTTACTTTGAGATATCTTTGCTGTCTTGTTGCCATGGAAATACAACATTTCCAATGGCTGCCCGGTAACTGTAGACTCCCAAGAGTCCAAGTGCCATCGCTATTTTCGAAACCAGGGAGCATCTTCTCTGAACCAGAATAAAGATCATAACTAAAGAGATGGCTGCCAGCAGGGAGAGGACAGCTTTATGTTCAGAACTGTAAAAGAGAAAGAAAAATCTATAATTACTGTGAAAGTACCTTTAAACAGCACTTTGGCTACTATACAAAATCTCCAAATTAATCTTTGCACCAGCACCTGTTACTAGCTTTCAAAAAGATGTGGCAAAATATTTTAGTATATTTAGTAAAAAGATTTTGTTAATGAGGTTTTTTATTCAAACATGCATGTTTAAAGTAATCATGGCTATGCTAGCTGGTCTGTTTTAAGCGAATAAAACAAAATTTCATGTGATACGATAAAAGATCCTAATGATTTCAAAGCAAAATTATGCAGCTATGAACATTATATGCATATGTGCAAAATGCTCTCTCTTCTACAACAGCATTTTTGTTTAATATAAAGCAGCAAGGCTTTTTACATATTTCACAAGCATCTCTTAAAATTACAAAATTCTGTACATTTATCCATCCTACTTGTTTTTCAATTTATAAAATGTCCCCTAGCTATCACATCTAAGGACACACACAAGGTAGCATACAAGTTTTCCTCCAATAGCATAATAAGAATCACCACTTACACCAGAGGTGGGCAAACTACTGACCACAGGCCACATCCCATCAGACCTTTAAGCCCAACCCTTGAACTCCAGCCATGGAGTGGGGTCAGGAGCTTGCACTCATGTGGATCCCAGAAACAGGGGCAGCTAAAGGGCATTGCATGCTGCCCCAGCCCCAATGCTCACGCTGCAGCACCCAATGCCCAGGAACCATGGCCAAAGAAAGTTGGGGGGCAGTGCCTGTGGATAGGCATATGACCTGGGAGGCAAAAAAACCAACAAAAAACCAGTCTCTCTGCCAATCTGATCTGGGGATCAGTGGGACCCTGAGCACACTGATGAGATTCCCCCAGACACACAAAGAATTCATGGTAATAACTGAGAGTCTTCCCCATCTAGCGTTCCATCTCTGGCTGTTGCAGATTTTGCTAATAGCAGATGCAGATGAGCCATATGCAACTGTAGGCAACCTCACCACACCATCCCTTCCATAAACTTATCAGGCTCATTCTTGAACCCAGTAAAGTTTTTTTCCCCCACTGCTCCCCTTCAGAGGGTGTTCCAGAGCTTCACTCCTCTGACCGTTAGAAACCTTCATCTAATTTCAAGACTTGACTTGTTGATGGCCAGTTTATACCCATTTGCGTCTGTGCCAAATCTGGTTGTTAGCTTAAATAACTCCTCTCCCTCCCTAGTGTTTATCCCTCTGCTGCATTTAAAGAAAGCAATCATATCTTCTCTCAGCCTTTGTTCTGAAAGGCTCACCGAGCCAGATCTCAAATCTCCTCTTGTAAGGTAGGTTCTCCACTCCTCTTATGGTTGCAGTAGCCCTTTGCTGCACCTAGTCCAGTTTGAATTAGTCTTTCTTAAAGATGGAAGACCAGAGCTGCACACAGGATTCCAAATGAGGTTTTGCCAGTGCTTTGAATAACAGCCACAATACTTCCCTCTCTCTACTGGTAAATACCTTGCCTGCTGCATCCTAGGACTGCATTGTCCTTTGTCACAGCCGCATCACATTGGTGACTCAGTCATCCTGTGATTGACCAATATACACAGGTCTTACTCCTCCTCCTCCCGTCATTTCCAACTGATAAGTACCCAACTTATAGACAATATTCTTGTTTAGTCAATCCTTTAGTATGTGGCTTTACTCTTTGCACTACTGAGTTTCTATTTTCCATTTCTATTACTCTAGAGTCATCTAAAACTTCTTGTATGTTATTCCAGTCCTCCTCTATATTAGCAACCCCCCCCCAATTTTTTTTTCTGCAAATCTTACACTCTTCTTGCAGATGTGATAGCAACAAAAAAGGCTTTCTTTTGGCACACAAGGGACTGCAAACAGGATGCCAGAGGCTCAAACAGAGGTCCCCCTAAGAACAGCTAACACACTAGTAAGGCCTCACAAGAGACATGGCTCTTTCACAGATAGAGACGAATGACTCCCTTCAGAAATATATCATGGCATTCAAGAAAATTGACCCTTCCCTTGCATTGGAGGATGAAATGTCAAGATCACTGCTATGTGAACCCTCAAGAAGCTGAGGCATAGTCAAGAAGATTATGGGTATCGCAGATATGCCAAAATTTCCTAAATGCTGCCTAGCATCGTTGAACCTAAAGAATTGTTGAGCAAGATATTACTGCTGTCATTGTTGTTCTGTGAAGTGATGCCTCTATCATCATGGTAAAAACCCAGGGAACCACAATGACCATTTACTGCGGTGCTTAGTGATTTAAAAACCTATTTTTAGACATTCATGCTTGAAAAATTTGGTTTTAATCTCAGCTGAAATGTAGCATATTTTAACTCAACTACATAAAGAAATTAGATGGACCATCTTTCCAGAGAAAGAACTTGCGTGTATGTGTTTCTTGTTACACCAGCCACTTTCCATGATGTTTCTAGTCTCTTGCTTTTCCAGTGACGATGGAATTCATTTGTTTACTAGTGTTGACCTCATCTTACCAATGTGAACACAAGGAGAGTGAAAGGAATGATAAATGAGCTCATGATTTTTTTATTTTAGGTGAGCAAAGCCTTTACCGCCTGTTTACCACCATTTTTCTAACATGCCACACACATTAGTATGGCATACCCCACACTCCCACAGTAAATTGATTTTTTTAAAGATGAATATATTTTGGAAAGAAACCCCTTAGGGTCTATATAGTATGCTTTGCAGCTTGTAATTATGTGTAATTCGCTTTGCTATGGGCTAGTCCAGTGCAATGCCCTGCTTGCTCCTTGGGCCCCTTTTTAAGGTTACAATCTTCATTAAAGTTTTCTGATGGACTAATCTCTCTTGAACATTTGCTTGTTGAAGAATTACGGGCCCAAGGTAGGGAATGTTAAAATTGTGTACGAGGGTAACCAAGTAACCGCTGATTCTGCAGTACAAAGCTTAGCCTGCCTGGGAGTAGGGCCACCAGCCCTTGCCCATCCAGCTCCGCTCCCAGGGAGGCAGCTTTGCTGACTGTTACCAAAACCGTTAACCAATAGGCATTTGCTTATCTGTTAAAAGGTTAGTCGTTTACACTCAAACATCCCTAATACAGGGTTACAGCCAAACTCTTCTTACAGGGATGGAGCATCTGCCCTCCTTTCAGGTAGCAATGGCATTCTGAAGACAACAACAAGTTGCATGAGCTAATCGTCTGCTATAACTGGGACTGTAAGATTCATGGCTGCTCACATCCTGGAATGCCACTGTGTAAGGTGGAAGATGCACAGCCTGAAAGCACAAAGCTTTCCAGGGAAAGGTCGAAGACCATCTGTGAATTGCACGGATGAAATGAAAGCACGGCATAGTAGGTGGAAGGTCACTGATTGTAATTCTGTTCAGAGGAGCAAATTCCCACCAGCTACAAATTGCTCAGTCGCCACAATAGGAGAATGCACACTCACACCTGAGGAAAGACATCAAAACGGTTCTTTACAAATGCTGGTGGGTTTCTCCCAAGTAAAGGAAGATCTCCACTTTATTTGAATGAGAAGTGGACAGAGTAAGAGACACTACATCTGACACTAAACTAGCAGGACAAAAAGCTTGGTTTCACCAATGTTTCCATTAATACTTACTGCGCTAAGACTACATATATAAATATCTATTACCACTATCTCAACAACAAGTGTATTTATACAAATCCATCCTTAATGAACCATTTTATTAAACCTTAGAACCACCTACTCACCCCTTCTCCTTATTCAAAGCCAGTCAACTTGCCTAGCAGTCCCAATCCCCCTTCACGGTTCCTCCCGTCTGCCCACAGCTCCTCATCCAATTTCAGTGACCCACCTGGCCAACTGATTCCAAGTCCTCATCTCTCCCACGCTCCTGGCTGAACAAGTCACAACCTGCCCTTACTACTAGCTCCCAGTTTAATTTGACCAGCCAGTCCCACCCTCCCCATGCAAACTCCCAGCTTCAACTCTCCCATATAGTAAGATGAAGGCCAGAAACATAAGCCCATGTATCACAGGTCTGGTGTGAGGCCTCAACAGCAATAATCAAGATTTCACTAATATGAAACAGAGCATAGCTGTGAACAAGAGGCAGGCCCTGCTCACAGAAGCTGGCAAGAACAGGGCTGATATTACAGAAACACTCCTACTTAAGAGGTACTAAGAACTGACCATGAGCACATTCCAGAGGGGTCAAAACAGAACACCCTGTGAAGCAACATTTTGGTACCAAACACACTTCCCACAAACTGACAGTATGATACGTAATGATCAAACCCCCAAGTACAAGTTAATGGTTGATTTATTTAAATCAGATTTTTTTTAATCAATAAAATACTGGTTGGTCACACAATGCGGTTTCGCTGTCCAGGTGCAAAATTGCTGCAATTTGTATTGACCTAAAATAATGCAGTGTAGGCATTTGAAAACCCTGCTCTTTCATTACCAATAAAGACCTCAAATTTCTCATGTAATCCCTATTGTGTTAGAGAGAAGAAAAAGTCTCTCCTCCCTCCCCCCCACAGCCATATCCCTTGGGACAGGTCAGAAAGAACACCAAGCACTGTTATTCTTTGTTGTGACTCAGTAAAGTTAGGAATTATGCACAGAACCCTGCTTTACATAAAAACCATTAATTCTGATACACAAGTGTATATATATTATGCTTGCCACTAGTGACTTAAGTTATTTAAGAACATAAACCACTGATAAAAAAACATGTGTTCAAGTTTGCGAGAATTAAATTATAAATCATGGTTAATGCTAACAACAACAGCCTAGTAGAGGTAAATACATTATATGAGACAACTGCGCCAATAAGAATAGCGTGAAACCCCTGCAGCACTTCATTTCGCACTCATTTCCTTCAACTATTTATAGTATTTCCTATTTACAAAATATCAAATCTGTAGCCCCTTAGCTAAACACTAAGTAAGACATGACATTTTAAGAATGTAGCAACCATCAGCCAGCACAGATACCCACCTTGTCAACCAATGTCCAAAGTCGGGTCGATGAGCCCACTGTACACCCGTCTGATTTAATGAACGAAGTAACCGACAACAAATAAGGATGATCCATGGACTTACTAAACCCATCCACTTTTCTGAGCCTCTTAGAAATTCATCTGAATAGGTGACTTTGCCCAATTTTGAGTCATATGATGGTATATCAACATTTTTGAATTGGGCGGTTTCCCCAGTATCTTCAAAATTTTGTTTCACAGCAGTACTAAGCTGAAGATCACAGTCTCTCACAAGAAAGTAATGTCTGCAAATTTCTTGGCACAGTGCCAGGCAAAGAGTATTGATAAGAAAATACCAGGTTTGGTGTTCCTCTTCTATAAAGCTGCTTGCTCCCAAGCTCACAGCATGGCCAGCAGTTCCTGCCAAAATGAGCACATCTAGTTCTGACCAGCTGGATTTGGAGACAGCTGGATTCTGTGAACAGAAAATATGTCATTGGTGAAATAATCTGAAAACCATATCATTACTCCCGTGTGCGTTTAACATGTGCTTACAGTTACTTGTTTAGTGATAACAAAGCCTAAACAAAAAAAGGCAAATTGTGTAATTTTTCTCAGTGGCATTTCCTGCACTTTTAGTCTTACATAAGTTAATTTTAGTGTTAGCCACTGAGTTAGCATCATAACACATTTAATTATACTATTTAAAATCATTGTCTACCCCTTCAAGGTAACTAACTTCTCTCTGAATAATCACCAAGACATACTTCAAGTTCAGGTTCTCTGCAACCTTGTGATAGAAGGTGTGAAGCAGATCTTACTTGTTGCACATGAATAGATCTAAAAATAGAAATCTCACAGTAATCAGAAAACTGAATAAAGATACCAATAACAAGCCATTTTCTCACCACTGTAGATCTCTATCCATTCATAGCTTGACAAAAAGAAAAAATCATCTCAAATTAACAGCAGCAATTGTGGAGCTCTTGCCACCTTGTCACTGTGCAAACTGAATAGTGCATTTATTTCAGGATAAAGAGACTGTTAAATAGTGGGTGTTTAAGGATTTATTTCACATGTTATGTATGGCGACAACAATACCCTGGACCTGATTTCATCATTATTTTAATTTTCTGCTCAATGCAGTTACATAGAACCATCTTCAGTAACTGCATGAGAGAAGAGAAGGCTATATACTTGCAAAGCATACAAATGAGCATTTGGGGAGAAATATTACCAGAACAATCCTTTATTTTCATTTTAAGTACTTTGTTGGGAAATATGCAAAGAAAACCACATATCACAAACAAGAACTATTGACACGTTAAGGAATAGTCAAGTGATTATTTTCAAGCCAAAACCCAAACAGGGTAACTTATTTATATTTAAGAACAGTTCTCTGAATGCATCTTCGTTTGATTGATCTTCTTAGCAATGTGCTCCTATCCTTGACCTTGTGATCTGACTTTAAAAAGGTACTGAATCTCCAGGAACTTTATAAAGTCCAGTCTAGGGATGTTAAATGTAGATTAACTGGCTAATCGAATAGTCAATACAACTTGCATTCACTATTCAATTAGTCAGTAAGGGCACTTCCACCTTTGAAGTGCAACAGCCCCAGGGCTGTTGCTACACTTCATAGGTCAAAGCACAGTGGGGAGCATGGTGCCAGTGGGGGACCGTGGCTCCTGGGGCCAGCTGAGGACTCTCAGCTGGGGGGGGGGGGGGGGGGGGGGGGGGGAGGGGTAGCAACTAGTCAACTAATGTCAACTTGTCATTCACACCCCTAGTTCAGTCAAATATATTTACTCTGAGACTGTGTATGGGGATGGTCCAAGGGGGCAACTGCCCTGAGGCCTTCCGTTCCAAGGGGCCCAGGATTCATGGCTGCTGCTACTGCAGAGGCAATGGCACCCTGAGCCCTGGACCCTTTGAATCACTGTCAGAGCATTGCACACTGTGCTCCAGAGGAGGGTTTACCCCGCCCCTTCCACCCAAGGCTCCTCCCCTTTTGGGAGCACAGAGCCACTCCCCACCTTGTCCATAGGCTAGCAAGGCTGTCAGCTTCCCTGATAGTGCACCGGAATGTCTAAGCTTTAGTTCCTTTTTCGACCTCTCACCCTCACAGCAGACAACCAACATATAAACTCCTGAAGTCTGGAGACCACTGGTGCAGCTCACGTCAGAACGGATCTAATTTGCTAAGCAACAAGCGCTAGCTGTGGAGGTAGGAGAATGGCGTTGTGCATGGAAAGTACGTACTACAGCTTGCTATACTATTTAACATGGTTAAAAATTAACATAATGGTCAAGTCATTGTGTCTAAACACGGTGAGGTGACTACCTACAGTGGCCCAGAATAGAATATTTTGTTGCATAGAGGAGCGGTTTTCAAACCTTTTTTCCTCATGACCTAGTTGAAGAAAACAGTTGAACTCCCTACAGCAATGAGACCTAGTGCCCGACATTCCACCCCCCAGTACTGGGTTGCGATCCATAGTTTGAAAACCACTGGCATAGTGTACCTTGTTAAAAGCATTGGCAGGAATGTGTGGAGAACTGGGCCTACTGTGAAGACAGGGTTACATGTCAGTTTAGCTAAGCCATCAAGTTTTTCTACTCTAAGCAGCTGTTATTAACAAAAACTAAGTGCTTGCCCAGGAACAAGCAATTGAGACTAACCACCAACCACCTTCAATAGTTAATTTGGCAGTTCTGATTACATGGAAGAAATACAATTCAGCCCTGAGATACTTACAAGGAACCCAGTTTGTGCTCAATACATTTGGTTTCACATGGTCAGTGATCTCACCTTAAATAGTCTGTTTTAGAGATTAAACCCTCCAGTGGTTACTATCTGAAAGGCATTTGCCAACAATAAACACTGGTATGCGAGAGATCATCATTTTCTTCTGGGCTTAGAAAGTATTATCATAATTTCAGATAGAGCTGGGCATATATATTGTTTATTTGCTCTAAGTACTGACTTCAGAAGTAAACTTCATACATCACATTTTTTACTCGTGATGCTATATCACCATGCTTTCCGATGCCAACTCTGACACTGTGGCTTACCTTGTAAAACTTGCTAACAAGTTACACATTTTCATCCAAAAATTAAACCTATATGTAATCAAGTAGCAGGTAATAAACACATTTAGCCTTGGCATCTAATTAAGACTCATCTGGAATTTTGATTTTCGGGAACCAAGCTGTGCCAAGTCTAAATGTAATCTTTGTTATTCACCACATGGAGCTCATGAGCTGAGTTAACAGGACAGGTGGTACACCTGAAGTACAAACTAGATCTTATTTAGACTAACAGCCTGGATGGCGTGTATTTATGGTGGGGAAGGGGAGAGGTACAGAAGCATATTATACCAAAACCTCTGTATTTACACCAAAACCATCCCCTCCCAGCAGAAACCTCTGAACTTAGAAATTAAAATTATCAAATCATATGATACAGAATTCAAATTTCAGTGGGCTGAGAGGTTCCAGCTGAAATACAGCCCAAGACAGTGATATAAAGTTATTAGCATCTGATGCCTATTTGGTACACAAGGTACTGATACTTACTCATTCCATTTAACAGACTTAGGGTGTGTCTAGACTACACCTCTCTGTTATGCGAATGAGGCATGGGATATTTAAATCCCTGCTTGATTGGCAATGTCGATGTGCTTGATTTGCATCCCTCTGTCGACAGAGGGATGCAGTCCAGACATAGCCTTAGACTGCTGGGACTTTGTTCACATGCCACTGAGCAATGGGTGGGTGGTGCTGGCTAGAAATGGGCCCAGACGTCCCAGGTTTGGACCTGAATGTAAATCCGGAGATGGGGCACAGAACCCTCGGGGGTGTCCACTTGAACACACGAGTCTCCTGCCCTAGTCAGAGTCTGGACGTATTCGGCGTTCCACACGCGCCTCCCCCTTTGCTGCCTCCAGAGCCATCCTCGAAGGGGGGGGCACCTCAAACCTCCTATCAGCATTAGCACTAAACAGCCTCAGCACACAGGCCAAAGACTGAAAGTGCATCGAGATCGAAATATGCATAAGTAAAGTCGTTAGGAGATTTTATGTTGCAGTAGTATAGCCAACCCACTTCCTCTTGCAGAAGTATATATTTATGATTTGCACCTTATGGTTATCAACACCAAGCAGATGCCTTTGACAACAGTAAGCTTCATAAACTGGAAGCAATTGAAATGTAAGTCAGTGGAGATCATGAAAACAACTTTACGGGAGCCACAGCATTTCTTCTTACTAAAATAAGTATCAATAACTAAATGATTAAGTAATTTTTACTCAGTTACTTTTCAGACTGGAAATTATAAGGTTTTGGGATTATTGGTAAAGTCTCTAACATTCCTGAAGTCTTGAATTCTGCTAATTTGGACACGAAGGGAGCTAATTTTGATTTCCAACTGTGCTACTTTCCATGTGACAGAACAGCATTGATTACAACTGTTCCCAATAAGGTTTTTCTGGCATGCTCTGAGCACATTTGAAAACTACAAAAATCACTGCACCAGCTCATTCAAAGTTAAAAAAAAGAGGTAGCAAGAATGGAAGGAAAGATCCTAATGTGAACTGCAGTTTGGTGCTTTGGTAATTAAATATGAGGTAAATGATATCATACGGGGGAAATCTATAAAAATTAAGCAGAAGGCAAAAATTCAATGAAAGACTATTTATTTGAATTGCATTGTATTAATAGGTGTAATACTCCAGAGCTGCTCCATTCTGAGCACTTTCAAAATTTCCCTTACTTAGGCTGGCCCCAATGTTTAAAAGATATAGCAAAATATGATTACTAGCAGCAACTCTATATATTACACTTCAAGGCTATCCACAGAACTGAAGCACTAGCCAAAAAAGTTAACGTTGTGAAGATTGCTTAGGATTTATAAAGGACTACATCACTATTTAAAGCCTTACATGTCACTGAGGGTGAGAGTGATTGTGAAAAGATGTAGTAATTAAAAGTTATTTATAGCATCTAGGAAGCAGATGTGAACACTGCCAAGAGCATTATGGTCTCCAGAAAATTCATGAACCTAATCATCAGCTCCTACATTCAAACATGGGGAAAAAGCCACATGAAGGGACATGTAACTTGAGAGCCATTTCTTCAGTGATATGAACGAAAATGCTTTATTTAAAAATATATAAAAATACATTGTAGCAAAGCTCCTTCTTGACCTTGGGGGGTCCCGCACTTTCAAGCTATTTGCTTGCCTCAGAGGTTCACAGCAGTCCTCGGTTTAGACACTGGCCTTCTGTTTGTTGAGCTACCCTCACAATTGACCAGCCTGGAGAAAAGGGGGGAACCAAACTCTACAGACTCTGTGACCCCTCCAAGTGATACAGGGCTGGACAAACCCTTTTCCCAAAGCCAGTCCTTTTCTGGTGCTGAAATGGGGAGTTGGTGATGGGAGGAACCTGGGCCTGCCTGCTGCTCCAGCTTCCATACCAGGGACCTTGTAAAAACAGTTGCCTGAAAATGTCTCCAGTAACAGCTGCACAACAGCTACGATCCCCTGGGTCCCTTCCCCAGCACCTTCCTTACTGCAGGCTCTTCTGACTGGTACCTACTTGCACTTCATTTTTCCACTCTTACAACCCAGTGAGGAGGGGGAGGCAGTTGTATATAGTTCAGAGGTTTTAAAACCGTATCAAGAGATTTATTTTATGAAATTGAACAGCTTACAATGCCCACTGTATTCAAAGTGTTGTCATGTTCCAAGTATCTAGAAAATATAACCAGTTATCTTCAGTAGGCAGTACTCTGGTATCACCCAAAGAACACTAGTTGTATATGCAAGTATCCTAGCATACAAGGCTGTAACTAGCGTACTGCATAACTGTTTCTGATCTAGTAAATCAAATGCAAAATTATATTCATTAGAATACTCCTGAAAGTAATATGAAAATGAACATTTTTTATGATAGTCATTAGAGTAATCAGCATGATGCCATAGTGACTATATCATATTTCACTCTGATTAAGTGGGTTCAAATTATATTATACCTTTGGCATACACCAGAAACTTCAGAGACAACTGTGCTCGAGGACACAGCACAAAGCACAAAAGGCTTCAATTATATTTCTTAAGGAGCGGTCTCACCTTAACTGGAAGTTTGGGATTCTCAAGCATCTTTCCAAAGGTGGATAAAATTACACACATAAGCGCAGAAATCAGCATCATCACTCCAACTGCCATTACCCACGATATACTGCAGAAATAGCATGAGCTCTCCGCTGACGTGCATACAATTACATGAACTGCACAGAGCAGCAGGCACAGCAAGTAAAACAGCAGAGAAAACAGTGGAGGCGAGAGAGGCACTTCAAATTCAGCCCTGCTGCTCAGGGCTTTCGGCATGCTGAGCAAAAGCAGAAGCAGAACCTACAAGAGAGCAAAAATATTGGGATGGTCACGAGATTGCGGCATAGTAGTTTGGAATCTAACGTTCAAAGAAAACAGTGTAGTTTCTCATACTGCATTGCTACTGAATACGTTTTGTAACAAGGGTGTCTGTGATGGAAGGTACCTGCCTGACAGGGCAGTTTTATGCCAACTGACACTGAAGAATACAATTATGTATGTTAGTGGTTTTAAAGTGACATACATACTCTTGCATAGAAATTCTACAAGCTCTCGGTATGCAGAACTCCCACTGATTTCAATGGCATCCCTGCACCAAGAGGGCTTACGAAATATGGTTAGAAGTATGAAGAAAGGATTATTAACCCTAAGCAATAACTATCGTTCTTTCTGACATGTCCCCCATGAGAGCTCCACTCCAGGGGCACTTGTGCCCCCTGTGGATTTGAATGAATGGAGATCTCTCATAGCAGTGCCCATTCGGCCCATGCACACCTATTAGTCTTGTGACCCATGTCATTGTTATACAGCCAGTCCCCAAGTTGCAAACAGTTGACTTAAGACCGTTCGCATTTATGACCAAAGCTGTCGTAAATGGCAGACCCTGAGTTACGAACGCGGTCCACGCTTACAAACAGCGCGGCCGCGTGTAACTCTATGGGGTCCGACTTACGAACAAACTGAGTTTCGGACCAAGTGCTTGGTCAGTAACCGGTTCATAAGTCGGGGAGAGGCTGTATAGCGTTTTGCAGGCAAACCCACCCTCCGTTCCTTCTCTACCATGGAGCCATACAACACACAACTCCAAAGCAGAGGGGAAGAACGGTGGGCAAGAAAGTACCCACAGGGGCACAGTTCTCCAAGAACCACAGTTATTGCCCGGAATGAGTGGCCACTTCTTCTTTAAAGAGTCCTTTATGGGTGCTCCACTCTAAGTGACTTCCAAGCAGTTCCCTTTGAGGAGAAAGGAGCTTTGGAATTGAATCAAGTATGGAAAACAGTACATCTCAGCTGAACATAGCATCAGAAGTAGAGTCATGAAATATCACACAGTGGTCAGTGAACATATGTACAGAAGACCAAGTAGCAGTTTAGACATTTATATAATGGACTCATTTTTGAGAAATGCCACAGAAGAGGAAAGGGACCTTGTAGAGTTCGCATGTCTGATTAGAGATTACAGACCCTTTTGATTGATCTATCAGCAAGACAAACAATATGGGGGGTATTCCTGAATGCTTCAGCCCTATCCAGATAGACGACCACGTCAAGGGTATGCAACAGTGCCTCTTGCTTATCTAGGTGAAGTTTAGGATAGAAGATTGGCAACTGAATAGGTTGGATAATATGGAACTCAGAATGCAGGACAATGTAGCACTTGCTTCAACTACCCCAGACTAACACGGCTACATTTCTATCACTATGGAACTCAGAGTAGACTACGCAAAAATGTGTGGTGTGGTTGCAAAGTGACCTTGTCCTTAAAAAATACTGTGAAAGGGGGGGCATGCCATGAGGGCCTCTATTTCCCCAACCTGTTGCACTTTGTCCACTCCAGGGCTTATGGATACAAGGACAGTTTAAACTGGAGCACATCTGCATACTTGCTGTAATTATCAAAATAGAGAAAGCATAAACTGAACAGATTGTACCCAAAGCTTCCTAACCCTTAGCCCATAAAATAATTTTGATGTGTTATCAAAGTTATGCTTCACAAGAATTCACAAGAACATCTGATGGAAAGGGACCTAGCATAGACAATGCCGTCACAGAACTGCCTTCCCAAACTTATCAATTCATACCTCCAGCACTATCACTGTCCCCACAGTCATCGAATACATGTCGTACTGAGCCACTTGCTTGCTTAGTGAAGAACTCAAGATCTTCAGAGCCTCTAAATATTGCTTAAGGACCTTTTTACCCAGGTTCAAGAGGACTTCTGAATTATTACCCTCTAGGTAGAGCTTGATCCAATTCCCATGGGATTTTTCTGCTATCTTAAAATGCTCAAATCCAGGATCTAGCAAGAAAAACAGGGAAAAAAGATCAGTATGTAAATTAGTAATTATCAGAGTCCTGATAGTATTTATACGCTTCCCAGGAAAAACTTGCTTCAGAAACTAAAACAATTGGAATTTCACACAGAGAAAGGTATAAATCCTAAAGAGATAATCAAGTCCATAGTGAGGTAGTTACCCTGAATACGAATGATTAATACCCGAACAATGAAACATTAAAGCCCACAAAGTTGAAAAGAATAAAAATCGAGCCACCATCTTTAATTTGGAAATGCACAATGGTACATTGTAATCTCAAAGGTACAATGAGATTAATATTAGAATGCATCCCAGAAAAGAAATCCTTTTAATATGTGTTTTCTCACTTTTTTTACATGTATAAAAACCGTGAAATTGTGGAATTCAATAGACTCAATTTGTCAGTAATACAGGAACATAGAGCCATTCAATCTTTTTTTGCTATCACTTTCTGCCCTCTGCAATCAAGCCCCCAAACATACACATTTTTGTAATGTCACCTGACAGAACTAAATTAAATTAAATTACAAACATGCACTCTTAGATCACATGGTCAATACTTTCAGAAGTGATTCTGCATGTTTCACTTTTAGGGTGTCCAACCTGAAACTCTTGAGGGTGGCCTGATTTCTCAGAGTACCTACCCTCTGAGGATCAGGTCACTTGGAAGATAGATTCTCAAAATCCTAGACTTCTAAAAATCTTGATACTCTATGTTTGCAAGGTCTCACGATTCTCTACTGGATTTAATCCATTTTGATGTTAGTTTCGCAGGAAAGCCATGTTCCTTAGGAGCATACTATTCAGGAAGTGGTAGTAGCCAAGATTTCCAAGAAAAGGAGATTTCAGCCTCATCTTCAAGTCTGAGTCTATGAAAAGTGAAGAGATGATGACCAAACAGTCTGATCTCCTGCACAACGCAGAGCATGGAATTTCACCAAATTGCTCCCACATTCATTCCATTACTTCTTGTTGAGCTGGGGCTTGTCTTTTGGAGAGAGATTTCATCTGGACTTAAAGACCTCAAGTGACAGAAGCTAGTACGTCCCTAGGTAAACTGCTCTAATAATTCGCTGCCTTATTTTAGTCTAAAATTTCTTAGCTTCAGCTTCCAGCAACTGAATCTTGTTATGTCTGTCTGAAAAAAGCCCTCTATCAAGTCTTCTATCCATGTAGGCACTTACTCATCTATAATCAACTCATCTCCCTACATGTCTCTTGGATAAACTAAATAGGCTAAACTTCTTTAATCTCTTTCTCAGTTATTGTCAATCGGATTTCTAGTATCAGGAAAATAAATTTAATCCAATCAAAGTTTTGAAGGGAAAAACTTTAGCAACAAATCCCCCCAAAAATTGTTTTGGGGTGGTTTTCAGAGACTCTGGCTTTGCCCAAGCGATGGCCAGGAAAACACTCATTTTCAAGGCCTTAAGTTTATACCCTCCACAGAGCAGCCCAGGACAGTGGCGGCCGTACAGCCTGGCGTCCCAGGGCTGAGGCACTTGCTTGCCCCCTGTGGTCATTCAAGAGTACAACTGTCCCTTGTATCACAGCCCTCCCTCTCTGTTTCCATGCACATATCATTGTCATGACAGAACTAAGCCCTTACCTTGCTTTAAGTTATGGTAAGAGGAAGCTATATACAGAATTTGTGCTCCTAGCTCTTACTGTTTAGGAAGAGTTCTTGAACAAAACAAACAGATGCACACGGAGACAGATGCACAAACTCTCTCAAATATTTAGTAGATTTGCAAAGACAAAATGGACTTTCCCAGAGAGAATGGAAGATCTGTTGGCTTCAAGACTCATCTTCCTCGGTGCTCTTAGGAAGAATTGAGACTCAGATAACTGCTAGTTTTTCCAATGTAGAAACTCATTTTCCCTCTTGTAAGCATCCAAATAAGAGTTTTAGTGCTCTTCCCCTTGACCCCTGGGTTTTAACTAACTCCCTACAAATCCAGTTTTTTCCCCACATGTTAGAATGGAAAGTATCTAGTTTATTCGGTTACATCCAATTTTGTTTCAAGAAAGTTACAGCCTCACATATCATGTCAAGGGAACATCTACTGAATATTTCAGTTGAGATAAACAGCATAATTATTGGTTGTATTAATAGTCTCCACAAACCATTAGTAAAATGCAACCTGGAGTGCAAGTCTACCCCACACAAGCCTGCCATAAATTGTCCACGTGGCCCCTGCTGCCAGGTACTCAAGTTACCTCATACTTTCTGATATATTCCCATTTCAAAGCAGAGTTCCTTCAACATTTGCAATGACTGTAAGACCTGAAGCCCTTTTCCCTATCCACAGGGCTCCCACCAACTACCTTCTAAAGCAGTTTCCAGAGCTTCCAACAACTGTGAAATTGAGAACTCCATCCATAATCTTTTGGTGGATAATCTTCTAAGATTACAGATGATTTCAGCTCAATTTATTCCAGCAGTTACGATTCAAAAGCATGTCCAATACAAACTGTTAGCACTGCAAGCATTAAGAAACTTACATTGCTAGAATCAAAAGGGCTTTTCTACTCTATAGAGTAACTGTGTAAAATGGCACTCACTCACTCGGTCTATCTGCTCCTTGTATAGATTCCGTCACATCCGCTTACCATAGGGAAAGGGATTCTTTGCTTTTTTAATACAACCTTTTACTCCCATTAGCCTCACAGATAGAAGTGAGCTAAATACTGCGTCCTGTGCAGCAAAAAAAACGGTTTAGTGAGTTTGTCAGTTAAAGCTGTGTAATATTATTGAAGACAATGTTGCACAAGCTTAAGTGACTGCACTCCTCTGGCCTACAGAATCCTTTGAAAACAATGCATGAGAACGGAAAAGCCCAGATTTAACCTAAGTGACTGGCTGAACTTAGAAATTGTACTTCATATTGAATGTTGAATGACAAACGGAGTCATTCATGTCTTTTTTACAATGATTTTTCAGGGTAGACTTCTGAGTCTTTATAATTCCCCTATTGTGATCACTGTCAGCTATTTTATTATGTGCTGTGTACCCCGAAACAAATCTTCATTTATGTATGTTGCCTAGTTTGAGACTTAATACTACAAAAGTATTATACTTTTCCTCTGCTAATTTCTCCTTGAGTACCATATTCACCTATGGATTAGTAAGTGCAAGTCTTGGCAAGATACGTAAATGTTGTAACCAGGACTGCATCTTTATATCAGCTCCTATCTAGGACTGTTATCAGTCATCTCTGGCTATTGGAAAAGAGAAGAAACTTTCTCTTTCTTCCTTATGAACCCACATGAGTGCTGGCTGCTCCAAAGACTTCTTACTTTACCCATTACCCCAAACCTTCTAGCTACAGCAAGAAGTATAGAGAAAAGGACCCAAGCACCTACAAGTAATGAGGAAAAGACTCCATTCTATTCCTTCACCTGCCTCCTTCTTTGGAACCTCCTGTCTCCTTTCACTTACTCTGCCCACACCATTCAGGAACAGTGTTAGCAGGAAATTGACATGATTCCTTATAGTTTCATTGCAGCCTGAATGTGTCTTATCAGCAATAATATGAATGAATGAGAGTCTAGTTATTTCACTTCATTGCTTCCTGGCAAGGTTCTGAGCAGTAGCAGTGGAGAGGTCTGTTTCCAGAGGCAAAAGACAACACTTCACTGGTTTGCATGTCAATATTCATCTGCATAAGCAGAAGGGCTAGAACTTTAAAAAAAAATCAGCAGAAATTATTGACTCTAATCCCCTGGCTTGGCAGTGAGCACTTCCTACTCATTACCTGTAAATTAACTCTCCAAGCCAAGTATTACATCATTTCACAATACTGCAGATCCAACATGCTATTGACCAAGTGCTTGGTCAGTAACCGGTTCATAAGTCGGGGAGAGGCTGTATAGCGTTTTGCAGGCAAACCCACCCTCCGTTCCTTCTCTACCATGGAGCCATACAACACACAACTCCAAAGCAGAGGGGAAGAACGGTGGGCAAGAAAGTACCCACAGGGGCACAGTTCTCCAAGAACCACAGTTATTGCCCGGAATGAGTGGCCACTTCTTCTTTAAAGAGTCCTTTATGGGTGCTCCACTCTAAGTGACTTCCAAGCAGTTCCCTTTGAGGAGAAAGGAGCTTTGGAATTGAATCAAGTATGGAAAACAGTACATCTCAGCTGAACATAGCATCAGAAGTAGAGTCATGAAATATCACACAGTGGTCAGTGAACATATGTACAGAAGACCAAGTAGCAGTTTAGACATTTATATAATGGACTCATTTTTGAGAAATGCCACAGAAGAGGAAAGGGACCTTGTAGAGTTCGCATGTCTGATTAGAGATTACAGACCCTTTTGATTGATCTATCAGCAAGACAAACAATATGGGGGGTATTCCTGAATGCTTCAGCCCTATCCAGATAGACGACCACGTCAAGGGTATGCAACAGTGCCTCTTGCTTATCTAGGTGAAGTTTAGGATAGAAGATTGGCAACTGAATAGGTTGGATAATATGGAACTCAGAATGCAGGACAATGTAGCACTTGCTTCAACTACCCCAGACTAACACGGCTACATTTCTATCACTATGGAACTCAGAGTAGACTACGCAAAAATGTGTGGTGTGGTTGCAAAGTGACCTTGTCCTTAAAAAATACTGTGAAAGGGGGGGCATGCCATGAGGGCCTCTATTTCCCCAACCTGTTGCACTTTGTCCACTCCAGGGCTTATGGATACAAGGACAGTTTAAACTGGAGCACATCTGCATACTTGCTGTAATTATCAAAATAGAGAAAGCATAAACTGAACAGATTGTACCCAAAGCTTCCTAACCCTTAGCCCATAAAATAATTTTGATGTGTTATCAAAGTTATGCTTCACAAGAATTCACAAGAACATCTGATGGAAAGGGACCTAGCATAGACAATGCCGTCACAGAACTGCCTTCCCAAACTTATCAATTCATACCTCCAGCACTATCACTGTCCCCACAGTCATCGAATACATGTCGTACTGAGCCACTTGCTTGCTTAGTGAAGAACTCAAGATCTTCAGAGCCTCTAAATATTGCTTAAGGACCTTTTTACCCAGGTTCAAGAGGACTTCTGAATTATTACCCTCTAGGTAGAGCTTGATCCAATTCCCATGGGATTTTTCTGCTATCTTAAAATGCTCAAATCCAGGATCTAGCAAGAAAAACAGGGAAAAAAGATCAGTATGTAAATTAGTAATTATCAGAGTCCTGATAGTATTTATACGCTTCCCAGGAAAAACTTGCTTCAGAAACTAAAACAATTGGAATTTCACACAGAGAAAGGTATAAATCCTAAAGAGATAATCAAGTCCATAGTGAGGTAGTTACCCTGAATACGAATGATTAATACCCGAACAATGAAACATTAAAGCCCACAAAGTTGAAAAGAATAAAAATCGAGCCACCATCTTTAATTTGGAAATGCACAATGGTACATTGTAATCTCAAAGGTACAATGAGATTAATATTAGAATGCATCCCAGAAAAGAAATCCTTTTAATATGTGTTTTCTCACTTTTTTTACATGTATAAAAACCGTGAAATTGTGGAATTCAATAGACTCAATTTGTCAGTAATACAGGAACATAGAGCCATTCAATCTTTTTTTGCTATCACTTTCTGCCCTCTGCAATCAAGCCCCCAAACATACACATTTTTGTAATGTCACCTGACAGAACTAAATTAAATTAAATTACAAACATGCACTCTTAGATCACATGGTCAATACTTTCAGAAGTGATTCTGCATGTTTCACTTTTAGGGTGTCCAACCTGAAACTCTTGAGGGTGGCCTGATTTCTCAGAGTACCTACCCTCTGAGGATCAGGTCACTTGGAAGATAGATTCTCAAAATCCTAGACTTCTAAAAATCTTGATACTCTATGTTTGCAAGGTCTCACGATTCTCTACTGGATTTAATCCATTTTGATGTTAGTTTCGCAGGAAAGCCATGTTCCTTAGGAGCATACTATTCAGGAAGTGGTAGTAGCCAAGATTTCCAAGAAAAGGAGATTTCAGCCTCATCTTCAAGTCTGAGTCTATGAAAAGTGAAGAGATGATGACCAAACAGTCTGATCTCCTGCACAACGCAGAGCATGGAATTTCACCAAATTGCTCCCACATTCATTCCATTACTTCTTGTTGAGCTGGGGCTTGTCTTTTGGAGAGAGATTTCATCTGGACTTAAAGACCTCAAGTGACAGAAGCTAGTACGTCCCTAGGTAAACTGCTCTAATAATTCGCTGCCTTATTTTAGTCTAAAATTTCTTAGCTTCAGCTTCCAGCAACTGAATCTTGTTATGTCTGTCTGAAAAAAGCCCTCTATCAAGTCTTCTATCCATGTAGGCACTTACTCATCTATAATCAACTCATCTCCCTACATGTCTCTTGGATAAACTAAATAGGCTAAACTTCTTTAATCTCTTTCTCAGTTATTGTCAATCGGATTTCTAGTATCAGGAAAATAAATTTAATCCAATCAAAGTTTTGAAGGGAAAAACTTTAGCAACAAATCCCCCCAAAAATTGTTTTGGGGTGGTTTTCAGAGACTCTGGCTTTGCCCAAGCGATGGCCAGGAAAACACTCATTTTCAAGGCCTTAAGTTTATACCCTCCACAGAGCAGCCCAGGACAGTGGCGGCCGTACAGCCTGGCGTCCCAGGGCTGAGGCACTTGCTTGCCCCCTGTGGTCATTCAAGAGTACAACTGTCCCTTGTATCACAGCCCTCCCTCTCTGTTTCCATGCACATATCATTGTCATGACAGAACTAAGCCCTTACCTTGCTTTAAGTTATGGTAAGAGGAAGCTATATACAGAATTTGTGCTCCTAGCTCTTACTGTTTAGGAAGAGTTCTTGAACAAAACAAACAGATGCACACGGAGACAGATGCACAAACTCTCTCAAATATTTAGTAGATTTGCAAAGACAAAATGGACTTTCCCAGAGAGAATGGAAGATCTGTTGGCTTCAAGACTCATCTTCCTCGGTGCTCTTAGGAAGAATTGAGACTCAGATAACTGCTAGTTTTTCCAATGTAGAAACTCATTTTCCCTCTTGTAAGCATCCAAATAAGAGTTTTAGTGCTCTTCCCCTTGACCCCTGGGTTTTAACTAACTCCCTACAAATCCAGTTTTTTCCCCACATGTTAGAATGGAAAGTATCTAGTTTATTCGGTTACATCCAATTTTGTTTCAAGAAAGTTACAGCCTCACATATCATGTCAAGGGAACATCTACTGAATATTTCAGTTGAGATAAACAGCATAATTATTGGTTGTATTAATAGTCTCCACAAACCATTAGTAAAATGCAACCTGGAGTGCAAGTCTACCCCACACAAGCCTGCCATAAATTGTCCACGTGGCCCCTGCTGCCAGGTACTCAAGTTACCTCATACTTTCTGATATATTCCCATTTCAAAGCAGAGTTCCTTCAACATTTGCAATGACTGTAAGACCTGAAGCCCTTTTCCCTATCCACAGGGCTCCCACCAACTACCTTCTAAAGCAGTTTCCAGAGCTTCCAACAACTGTGAAATTGAGAACTCCATCCATAATCTTTTGGTGGATAATCTTCTAAGATTACAGATGATTTCAGCTCAATTTATTCCAGCAGTTACGATTCAAAAGCATGTCCAATACAAACTGTTAGCACTGCAAGCATTAAGAAACTTACATTGCTAGAATCAAAAGGGCTTTTCTACTCTATAGAGTAACTGTGTAAAATGGCACTCACTCACTCGGTCTATCTGCTCCTTGTATAGATTCCGTCACATCCGCTTACCATAGGGAAAGGGATTCTTTGCTTTTTTAATACAACCTTTTACTCCCATTAGCCTCACAGATAGAAGTGAGCTAAATACTGCGTCCTGTGCAGCAAAAAAAACGGTTTAGTGAGTTTGTCAGTTAAAGCTGTGTAATATTATTGAAGACAATGTTGCACAAGCTTAAGTGACTGCACTCCTCTGGCCTACAGAATCCTTTGAAAACAATGCATGAGAACGGAAAAGCCCAGATTTAACCTAAGTGACTGGCTGAACTTAGAAATTGTACTTCATATTGAATGTTGAATGACAAACGGAGTCATTCATGTCTTTTTTACAATGATTTTTCAGGGTAGACTTCTGAGTCTTTATAATTCCCCTATTGTGATCACTGTCAGCTATTTTATTATGTGCTGTGTACCCCGAAACAAATCTTCATTTATGTATGTTGCCTAGTTTGAGACTTAATACTACAAAAGTATTATACTTTTCCTCTGCTAATTTCTCCTTGAGTACCATATTCACCTATGGATTAGTAAGTGCAAGTCTTGGCAAGATACGTAAATGTTGTAACCAGGACTGCATCTTTATATCAGCTCCTATCTAGGACTGTTATCAGTCATCTCTGGCTATTGGAAAAGAGAAGAAACTTTCTCTTTCTTCCTTATGAACCCACATGAGTGCTGGCTGCTCCAAAGACTTCTTACTTTACCCATTACCCCAAACCTTCTAGCTACAGCAAGAAGTATAGAGAAAAGGACCCAAGCACCTACAAGTAATGAGGAAAAGACTCCATTCTATTCCTTCACCTGCCTCCTTCTTTGGAACCTCCTGTCTCCTTTCACTTACTCTGCCCACACCATTCAGGAACAGTGTTAGCAGGAAATTGACATGATTCCTTATAGTTTCATTGCAGCCTGAATGTGTCTTATCAGCAATAATATGAATGAATGAGAGTCTAGTTATTTCACTTCATTGCTTCCTGGCAAGGTTCTGAGCAGTAGCAGTGGAGAGGTCTGTTTCCAGAGGCAAAAGACAACACTTCACTGGTTTGCATGTCAATATTCATCTGCATAAGCAGAAGGGCTAGAACTTTAAAAAAAAATCAGCAGAAATTATTGACTCTAATCCCCTGGCTTGGCAGTGAGCACTTCCTACTCATTACCTGTAAATTAACTCTCCAAGCCAAGTATTACATCATTTCACAATACTGCAGATCCAACATGCTATTTTAGTCCATTTTAGCTGAGAAATAGCACATGGTCCCAGAAAACTTATGATTTAACAAATACAAGGGTAGCATGATGTTACCTTCTGAGAACAAATGCTTAAGAGCAATACTGTTTTTATTTTGTGCCAGCTCTTTTTAAATGTCAACATTAATTCTCCATCTTTGTGATTCCAAAGAAATGTATTTTTTAAAACAGTTCAATCAAAACTACAATTTGACAAGTGCAAAAAATACACTTTTAAGGAAGCTATTTAACAAACTAATCTAGGTTAATGTCCTTGTGGCCCAGTAACTCCTACCTTCTCTAAATTCAATGCATTAATAACTGTACCAAGATAGACATACAGTAGCAGAAAAATATTGGTTCAAGTAATCACTGAAGAAAAGTGTGGGTCACGGAGATTTAAGAATTCGGGTTGGATTTTGTCCCTGATTGCTATGTAGTGACTTGAATAAAGCAGATTTACAAGAAAAAATGTCACTCTATTATCAAACATAAGAATCCATTTCAATTTTTGAGGTAGTTCAAACATTTACATGTGAATTCCTAGTCTGGTTATAATCTTAAAAGACACTGAGCTCTCCTCTTTTCAGATGAAGTTATTTTTTCCACGTCACTTAAACACTTATCATTGAGGTCCTCCCGCTGAATTCTGTTTGTTGTAGATCACTGAGCATGTCAAGTTCAATTTTACTAAATTTTGTAACATGCGCTCCCAATGTGCGACTCATGCTGTCTGTGTCTTGCAGATTCCCTGGTTAAAGAGCAGGGTTCAAGCAATCGGTAGCTCTTACAAATGTGGCTGTCACTAGCGTGGTGTATGCACACCCTGTCCCTTGAGGTGAGGGTACCTCAGATTATGGGCACCATTTAGCCAGGTTGTCAGCAATCTCTTTCAGTCAGTAAAACAACCCTCAGTCTAGGGCAGTACAGCCTAATGGCTAGAGTCAACAGCAACAAGATTTAATGGTACCGACTCTTCAATCAGGGCAGCACAGCCTAACAGCCAGCATCAATAAGGGCAGCCCTCAGCTCAGGGCAGCACAGCCTGAGAGCCACAGTCAATAGTTTGGGGCAGCTGCCCAGGCCCACCCTACTCCACCGGGGCCCAACCCAAGGCCCTGTGAGTGTTGGAATGCTTCACCACTCACTCATGCTG